GGTGTCTTTCTGCATTTCTGCCATATTTTCAATCCAATACTGGCAGAGCGATATATGAACATGTCATGTGAAGAATTCAAAAAATTGGCAAACAATTTTCACAGAAACCATTCGCGAACAATGACATTTTAAAGGTATAATAAAAAGAGACGATAAGGGCCAAATAAATCCGAGTAGGACATTAAAATGCCGTTTTCCTTATTAACAGTTGTTTTATTTGAAGAGCGGTGTTCCGGCCACTGTCGATTGACGGCTTCTAAAGCAAAAACCCGCCTTATAAAACTGAGTCAATAAAATTTTAGTTGTGGCCACTAAAACATCTTGGTTATTGGTTATTAGCGTTGTAGACGTAGAAAATATTTAATCTAATGGTTTTTGTGAGGCTCAGCAAATTCGCGACGATTCCACATTGGAAACATTTTAACAGAAAGTTAAAGTGGAATCTTGTACATATTATTCTTTCATTGTGAGAATTATACTAGGTACATGGAAAAATAATTATAGTCGATGTAGGGCATACAATAACGTGCACGAAAACCCGTTGGTAAATTATTTCTTGAAAAATATGAAAATCGATACTAAAGCAACTGAAAGATTTGAATCGATTTCAAAACTATTCAACAATTTGCTTAATTTGGCTTTTGGAGTTTCGAATAGAACATTTGTTACTGTCGCTGCTAAAGTGAACCCAATATACTATCTGTCTTGYAGAGACAAGTCTTATAAGTAATATATCTGTCTTGTAGAGACAAGTCTTATAAGTATAAGTTATCAAACAAAAAGAYAAAGTYGTCAACCAGTGTTGAGCGTATTAACTATTTCGATTATTCCCATCACTAACATATTTACTGTTCTCAATTACAAAAGAAATGTTTGAAAATATACACAAGCCCCATAAATATTACGAAAGTTTATTATTATTACCTACCAAAAATAGGCTGATCCATTTATAAAGTTGAAAATCTGATTCAGAAAATTTATTCTTTTAATGAAAAAAAAAATGCAAATTGCAATTGTAGTTTAGCTAACTGATAAACGCACCTTTGCTCTCTTAAAAATCCCTACAAAAACATGCATGTAAAACATTTGGTAGTTATTATAACACAAAGAAAACGAAAAAATGTTTCTCCATTAAGCCGCAGTTGTAGGCAAGTATTAATGTAATGATATACTTGGCATATTCAATGAAATACAATTCCATCTGAGTAATTAACAAAAAAATAAAAATAAAGCTAAACACAGGTACAGGTTCTCATCTTAAGCCCCAAAAGCAACCACCCAATTTGCAAGTAAAACAACATCTTTTCCGAGTGCTCGCCAGTGCATTTCAAATGAGAATCCGAGATAATCGGCGACTTATGCAGAAGTGGAAAAGAAAGCAAGAGACGAACCACGCGCACTGCTGTTTCGCCCAAATCTCCAAAGAAAAGTAAATCTATTTACCGATTTTATGGATTTGAAAGCCTCAAATTGCTTTTTGACTCTGTGCCAAGTCTAGTTGGGCCTTTTGGCTAAAACGGCGGATTTTTATGTTCCCTCAAGGACCACTATTGTCGGTGGAGGTTTTATAAATTAGTGAAAAATCTCAACGGGCTTGAAAGAGCCATTATATAGTTAGCGCAAGTAGTTGTTTGGATTCTATGATAGAATTGCGCAACGAGGCTATTAATAAATTACATTTTACAGTTTGTAGGTACTTACTGTAGGATAATTGACAGTTTTTTTTCTTGGGGATTCGGTGAGAAAAAGTAAGTAAACATTTTCAGCTAGCTTTCGGTAATTTATTTTTCCGCCTAGAGTTATTACAAAAATCTGAGCCATAAAACACGTGAGGCACACAATTTAACAGATAAATACAGGTGGGTTCTTACTGCTAATTCTTTCGCAGGAATGATCTGAGAACCCTTCAGAATCTTTTTCAATTTGATTGAGATTCTGGAGAGTTCTCAGACCTTTAATACGAAACAATTATCAGTAAGTACTCGGTATTTTATTATAATTTTCTCACTGCAGACCGAATCCCCAACAGAAAAACTTTTCAATTATTCGTGTAATGTCACTAAACCATCCCTTGTTTGTAGACAATTAATTAATTATCTCAAATACAGACTAGCGAAGAAAGAGGCATATAATTGAGTTAAAAAGTCCATGCAGAACATATTTCGAACATTAATAATCCAATTAATAGAACATTTAAACAGTATTTTGCTCCTTCAATCAATGCGTACATACAAGCAAGTATAGGAACTAAAAAAATGTTTATTAATACTTAACGCCTCAAATTTCGTGTTTTAAGATGGATGTACTATTTGTATTTGCACACTGATCGATATACGATTTTTAAGTTCTATTGGAGCAGTTTAAGTATAAATAGTGTGTTCCTATAGATATAAATAAGTACTTAATTGTGCCAAAGGAAGTGTCGATTCTTTATGGGAAAAGGAAACACATGTTCCTCATCCATTTTTCTCTTCGTGCTTTAGTTTGAGTGATACAGAGTGTCGAAAATTTAATTCATTTTTATTTCTTTGCCTCTGCTTATGTTAAGCCTTTACAGATATATTAAAATCTCCACCACAAAAAAAAAGTTGTTATTAGTGGCAATGTTTGTACAAGAGCTGATTGCTGTAGGTCAAACGGTTCCTAACATAATGATAAAAACACTTTACTTTTTGGCACCCTGCGTTGCGACAACGAAAGCTCAAATGAAAAAATGGAAGACGAAAAAGTGACTTGCTTTGTATGAGGATTCTATCGTTCTCCGCTGGGACTCTTATTTAGAAACACCCTGTATACGCGCCTAATTTCTACATTTCATGATCCATTGAATACGTACATTCATAGTTGCGAAATATTTTGAACTCCACGTATGAACTGTGTTTCATAACTAAACATTATATTACATGAAGGAAGTTTAGTATGTTTTTATCAATTAGTAGAATCTAACGCCTGATAAATACATATCGTTGTGTTGGATTTTAAACCACTTTCTCATCAGACTCAGATTGAATATCAATTTAAAGTAATAATCAAGAATAGGTACCTAAATAAAAACTTAGCACATCTCTGGAAGAGCAACGTTTTGTCCACTGGTACTCAGTACTGAAGAACAGAAGCCAACAAGCAGCAAATTGTTGTATCACAAAGTTACAAGTTTTTATACGTTATAGTCATAAAACAAAGCAACAGGACATATCGTAAAAAGGTAAATTTTTTAAATCTAAGATTTAACGTTAACTGACTTACCGCTAGCTACAGGAATGTCTCAATAAATTATGGGTTCACTCAAGAATGTTTCAAGTTCAATATCGAGCATTTTCATAGAAAAATAATTACATAACAACTAATGCCGCAATTCAAAAACACAACTGAAATCAGCATGTCAAAACAAACAATTCCTGTCAAAATAAACAATTCAAAACATCAGTTGTTTATTGACTCTTTCCGAGTGCAACAACACCTGACCAATGAAACAATTAGCAATAATCACCCTCTCAACTTAGGGTAATAAAATAAATCAATACCGAACCCTGAAGATATAATAAAATTTATAATACAAAGGTAACCAGAGCAGACTTAATACTTTACCTATTGTTGGGGGATTTCTGCAATGTTTATCACGGAAAAAGCACTGTATTTGAATAAAAACCACTCACGTCACAGTTCAAACGGAACACAAAAAATCCGTAGCGTTCAAAGGGTCCACTTTATTGAAAAAACTCGCGAAAATTTGATTCAAAAACACGAAAATACACGGCGAACTTCACTTCTTGGGGCAGCATTCCATTGCCATTTTGTCACTGAATGGCTGGGTTGCCACATGGGGTTGTATAGATTTCCTGAGGGTTAGGCATTACAAATAATAAATTATGTGTAGCTTCTAGCAGTGCGATAGGCACAAGTAGTTAAACCTGAAATAAACCCCTATTTAATTAAATTGCAGTTAAAATTGCAAATCCCAGCTAAAGACATACTTGCTTTCGTTATTCAATATGTTTAACTTTTCAAAATAAGCAAGACAAATTATTCCATTAAATCTAATAAAATTGTTATTTCTTTTTTTAACCCTAATTTAAAAATTGAAGAAAAAACTGTTAAGTTAATTTGGTTTAAAACTATGGATCTAACTTCAGATTTGATATTTTATATATAATCAATGTCTGAAGAATTTATAAAAATGGAGTATTAATTAACAAAATACATTTAATAAACATTCAAAGTCAACACAGTCTAAAAATCAGTTTAATAAACAAATAAAAATCGGATAAACATACAAAGACAGTGAGCAATGTGTGGCAATGCCGCAAGAAATTCTTAATTCTTGCAGAAGTGGCGTCCTCGTTAGCTTCACATTCGAACTGAGCAAACTTTATCCTTAAATGGTGCTTTATTGTTACAGGGGTCTGTGATACAGATAATAGCATACAATGGTATGCGAGCTGCAAATTAATATATAGCTTTTTAGGTAAAAATCGGAAAATCCAGCTCAACTGGCAAAATTAGCATGAAATTAAATGTATTATAAAATAAAAATTGTAATAGATAAAATGGAAAGACGTGAGCAACGCAGCAAACAAATCTGAATCGATAAAAATGAATTATTTCATGCCACAAGCAAAAGGCATCTGTTTCATAAAGTACAAAAACTAATAAAAAATAAATCAGTGCTTTATATACGAAGCAGATTACATTTTTAAACAGTTTGTAGGTACAAAAATATAACCGGTTTAAATAAGCACCCAAAAAGATTAACTTTTCTAAAAGTTAGCTCCCGATATAAAAAAACAAATTTGCTACTCAAGCGGACTAGAAAAACATAACTTTTCTTTTCTATTTTGTATTCACTCAAAGTTAGCGTCAGGAATTCAATTAATCCTCAATCTATAAAAAACACTTCTACGTTTTAATAAATAATCTACTTGAAAGTGTCAAAATTGAAAATCGTCCTATTATCAAATATGTATTCGTTTATCTGAACATGCAGAATAAAACACAAATCATCGGTTCTCATAATTATGGTATCCTAAATTATATTCGACAACATCCCGTGATGTCCAATCATAATACATTGTTGGAAACTTATACAAAAAATAGAAAAGCATTTGTCAAAAAGTTACGAATATTTGTGTTGTTGGGAAAAAAAGTAATACTAGCACATACCTAAATCATGTATAGTAATATTATGTCAATGGCAGTATAAAAAATATATTTTTTCAAATTATCAATGATAAAATGAACCTACTTAGACAACTAATAAAGACTGGCGACAAAAATTAATAGGATTACTCCGATTTCCCAACTATGCCCTACATATTCACAAATAAAGCAGACAAACATTGAGGTATTCATCTTTTTTCATTTCTGTCTTGTCGGATAATGTTCATAAAAATAATTAAGTAATTTCAGTAGATCGCAAGGATAGTTTCACTTCTACCTTGAAATAGGAAACTTTTGGTTTACAGGCAAGTTCGCACTTGAGCTATGAAAGCACTGGACAATGTCACAAAGAGGAAAAACACACTGAGCAAAATGTAGATTTCATAATATTAGATTACATTTAAAATGTTTTAATCTAAAACAAATATTTAACTATAGAGATGTATAAAATAGGGGATCAGAGTATATGTAACTACTAATAAATTATACTTAAATTTTTGAATTTTTGTTTAAAAGTAAGACAGATCGTTTATTGCCCGCCGCATTACGAAACGTAGATTCGAAAAATACTTGCGACTTGCAAAAAATTGCGTTGAAACTTTCATATCTTGAAATAAGTGTTAATTTAACGTAAAAAAGTTTCACTTCAATATTATCATAAAATTAAACATTAATAAAAAGAAAATATTATTTCGTAACTAAGAAAAATTATATTTGATGTAAAATTCAAATAATCGATGAATCAAATAAGAAAAAATATAGTGTTTAAAAGCTAATAAATGAAATATGAAATCCTACCTAAATCAACCCTTCTTGTCTAAGTTTACTAAAAATAGAGGGAATTTCAATTTTGCACTTAAACTCTTCGTCGCTCGACTGAGTTACGTCCACTTCCAATATAGACTCATCTGGTATCAATTCAGTAAGTCTCTTGTGCACGTTTGGATCATCAGGAATGCCTGAAAACGTAACAAATTATTTTTACTAGAAACTCAATTTGATCAAAAAAAAAATGGATTTCAATTGTCATAAAACCAACAAATTTTGAGCTTTCCAGCCGCTATTTGCATTTATCCATTTCTAAAAGACAGAGTTCGAAAAATTATTTAAAGTTGAAAGACCAACAATGAATTAAAGCGCGAGTGACTATGACGATCGTTTTGTTTATGACGAAAATATTTTGTTAATTAATTATTATTAAATAAAAAAATATTTGGCTTTTTTGGGAATACAAATAAAATAGGCAGTTTACTCTGAATAATATTTACTATGTGATTGATTCAATAAAAGTACCAAAAAAGCTTACCCGAAAAAGCAGCTGTAATCCCTAATAACGGAATTTCCGCTAGTCGCTTAGGAAACCGCCTGATTTCCGATTTGTGAATAAGTTCTGTATTTCCGAAATCCACAAAGAAAACTGTAATTTGATCACCATGATTTTCCGCTACAAATGCTCGATACCAAGCATCTAAAATAACATAAATTTAAATTAAAGCTGTGAAAAATTTTCCTCAGTTCAGTAATAAAAATATAGTCAAATAATTATTACAGTAATATTAGTAGTATCCCCCCACAACTGGACCCTTTGCCTCACAAGACAGACAAAACACTCCCGTTTTCGTTCTCCAACAGATACTTAACTAGAAGACCTTCAAACGCAACTTGGTGTGTTGTGTAACGATTAAGATCTGTTTGTTTTGTAAGCCAATAATTTATTTTTATTTTTTGATTGCTCATTAGTTTATATTGCTGATTAGTTTATACCAGTGTTAGGAATAGGAATTAATTTTAGAATAAGCTAGGCTAAAACACATGTACTACACAAGGGCAGAACGACCGATTGGGTCGATAGCCTTTTTCTGTAGGAAATAAAGATTATTTATATTATATTATATATAGTAGTGTCATCAGCATACTAACTAGTGGTTTACTTCATTTAAAGCTTTTGCTTTTATTTAAATGGATTTAAAAAAACTTCAATAAATCAAGTTACAGTTAAGTTATATGCCGGTGTATTATATATTTTAGGAAAAACATAATTTAAAAAAATACCACCATGAAAAAACATAATAAGTCTAATAATGGAAGCGAGTGGCCCTTTTTACCTTGAAATTTAGCCAGACACATTATGAATTCATCAGGGACATAAGAAGACGTATCATCAGGTTCTTCCACAACTAGAATTTCTGCTAAATACTCTTCATTCTTCTCGGAGGTTGAGAGAATTGTAACCATACCATCTCGGCAAGAATAACAGCAATAGGATGCACGGCCTACAGGTGCATTCAAAAACGGCATATCTGTGTAACTAACTACAATATCTGAAAAACATTTAAAAACAAAGATATTAATGGAAATTCAGGATAAAACAGCTAACTACAACTTACAATTAGGATCAGTTTTTGTTTTATCCGGTTGTTTCAATGGAACATTCGTAGGAGTTACTGGATCCGGTAAAGTCGACTCATTTTTCTGCTTCGGTTTTTGTATTTCTACATAAAATAATATTTAAACTCCTAATATCACAATTACTGTTTAACAGTATACCTGCACTTTTCAGTTGTCCAACATCTTGAGTAGGTGAAACACATTGCGGAGTTGGTTGGACTGGCTTGGAAGCAACTTTTGGAGCTGGTTTAGGCTCAGATAACTGCCTAAGCTTTTCTGATAATAACATATTATCGGTCGGCAGCATAAGGTTTAGGTTACTGGAACCTTTAGTCTGCAAAAACACAAGTTTAAATATTGACAATTAACTTACAAAGTGCCAATCATTTTATCATGAAATACTTTGTTGTTAATTGTGCCAGCGAATTCAAGAAAATTTTTTTAGAATGTATAAAATAATTCTCAAAATTTATTATATTACATTATCCGAAAATAGTTTATTGATAATTCTTCTTACTTCACATTCACTACTTTGATTTTTTGCAACACATTCAAACCGGATAGTAACAATATGTTTCGATAGTTACCGTTTTAATCTTTTTTTTTTGTAAAATAAGTTGGTTCAAGAAGTCTTCAGCCTCCTCTGAAATTTGGCTCAGCACTGGATATTCAAGTGTAAGGAATGCTCTTGGATAAGAAGCCAAAGTCGCGTCAAAATTCCGCAGAAACTTGATTGATGTAAAATCCCCTATGTAGCAAAGATAAGATATATAAGATAAGCAAAGAAGTCGGTATAATGTTATTTTAAAATAACTTAAGCCGCTGCAAAGTACATCATAATATATCCCATATTTTAGAAGAACTCTTTGGCCCCACTATGGTATTTAAATATGACATTGCAGAATATATCGAACAATGCTAGAATGAAAATAACAACTACTTACCACCCTGATAGTCGACAAATTCAACTTCGACAATTTTTTTCGTTACTTCCTTAATTATCGCTCGATGCAGACCTTCATGGGTATCTTTAGCACATAAAACTAGCTGTCCCACTTTTGGTGTACTAACGGCTGTAATTCCAGGCAAATAATATAAAATGAATATATACAAATGCGGCTCAAACACTTACGCTTCTTCTCCATATTACTTAAATGCTCATAAACTTTCTTGCAAATTCCACCAGTCTCTTTATTCCTTAATATGAGATCAGTGTCAATATAATTAACAATCATAACTGACTCATCTGGTAAAAGTTTTGCTGTACTTTCAGGCAACTGAAGAATAAAAAGAGTATTCAAATGAATCCACATTCACTTCCAACTAAATGATATTGTTGCTTGGGTCAAAATAATGCTTTAATGAATATAGTGGAGAAACAATGTCTCCTCTGTTAACTTGCAAGACTATTTAAACAATAATCTCAACCAAGGCGTGCAAAACTAAAGTTTATATGCACTTACCTTAGTGAAGTATTCCTGTTGCTCTTTGTCAGCATCGGAACTTTTAGGTAGCTCAGATGATGGTGTTTCAGTGGGAACTTTCTGTTCTTCGTCTGCCGTATTGGTATTTAACGGAACTTTAATTTGGATCAAAAAAGTAAAATCGTCAAACTGAAAAAAAAATTCGACACTTTGAGTGTATATTTGATTTGAGATTAACACGTTAATTAAAAAACCAGATAATCAATCTACTTACTTGCTTAGTGACCGAAATCTCAAATTGTTGTCCAGTTTCAAAAATAAAACTTTTATTATTTAATTGACATGATTCAACAGTAAAACGATTTGCCTGGGCGGGTATTGCTTTCATTTCCGAAGACATTTCCTTCACCGGAGTTGTAATATGCTCCCTATTACCGTAGTCAATCAATTCTACAAATGTATCTGTAGGATTTGAATTTACCACCACAGCTCGATACCTGAAAACGCACTCAGTTCTATTAGAATTTACGGGTCTGAATGTGACCACTTTTAATTTAATTGCGTACTGTAATCAAATTGTTTTCTTACAAGAGCAAAAAAATGCATCCCATTAGTTATTATACAAGACAAAAAGAGACATTTTAAGCAACAATTTATATTTATCTAATTCCAGCAAAATCATAGCAATGTTTGAAAACCTGAGCTAAGAATTAATTTTTCATCCTCTTCTTGTCAAATGGAATTTCAATAAACACGTGAGAAAAAGGTAAATTATAAAAGCGTGCGGTAAAATAATGGTCGGCGAGAAACTCAAATCTTACCAGATATCCTCAAATAATGCCACGCACAAAGTATTTTTCGTAGGGGTGACTTCAGGTAAGGTGCTATCTATTGTGTTGACGTGAAGTAATATATCGTCAATATTACTCAATGTTTCGATTTTTTGCCCATAAAATACATGCGGTTTTTCTGGATTTACATATGATATGTTAATCTGAAAAAGCGGTTCTAGATAATATAGTTTAGGCAGAAAACCTACTCATACAACTACTCGAAATTTTCACTCGATTTTTCGAAATGAAGCATCGAAGCTGATTCAGCAAACAAATGATTGTAATTGAAATTAAGTCAACTTTTATCAGATTGAGCATAAATAAATTGATACCTTGTGTATGGAGCCGGTTGCCAATGGGAGTCTTTCAATCTTTAGCGGAATTGTGTCTTCATTAGCTGCAGGAGCATTCGATGATACTCTATCAGTCTTAGGTGTAGACGCAGCAATCGCTTTACCACCATCTAAAAATGTATGTATTGGCATGTGCACCGACGTATATGGGATATAATATAACGTGAAAGTACGCTTTAATCAAACAAACTCAAACGTAAAAAGTCAAACTGTGTTATTTTGAAAATAATAAGAAGTCATATAAAATGATACACAACTTTTATAAAACAAAAATATTAAATTAGAAACTGGCAATGTCTTACCATCATCGCATTGCTTTTCCCGCTGTTTGCTAGTTTGTATTGGGACGTTCTGTTTGGGTACGAATCCATCAGATCTAGGTGACCTGCCTGGCGGTTTACTATTATTATACCTACCATTATATTCCTTATTATCCCCATTATTTTCTGAATATCTCTTCTAAAATGATTTAGTTTAGTGTAATATTACAAACAAAGACACTATTCAAGGTAATACGCAACTGGAACTACGTTCATGCACGTAGTTCAAAGACTAAAGAAAAAGATGGAAATTGTATTCCATTTCAGTTACCATTGGGTTTGCTTCCCTCCCACGTTCATTTCTTTCTGAGTTGAAAGTTGGTTTGTCTTGAAACACCCTATTTGATGGCTGAGGTGACGGTTTCATAAGCCTAAAACAAAGTTTGAATGTCTTGCTTAATACCACACTTATTTTATATAAAAAAAACTTGTATCAATACATTTATAAATATTATGACTTGACTTTGAATGAAGCATCTGATCAAAAAAACATGTAGGTATTGAAAATATTTGATATAAATTTAAAAAAATTAAATACCTGTCGCGCGCTTGCTTATTTGATGCAGGATTTTGTGGACTGCCATTTTCAAAGTAAGAACTGTGATTTGTTTTAGCATTAGGACTTGTGTTTGCCTGTGGAGACGAATACACTGTTGTTTTGGAGGTAATTGAGTAGTTTTTACTATTTCCAACTTTACTGATCTGCCGACCGTGACCAACATGTGATGCTGGCTCAGGATTTTGCAGTCTTGCTCTAACCCTAAAACATTCAATAAGATTTATTTAAAGTCATTTAGATTAGTTTTATTAAATAAGTCGTTACGAAATTAATCGGATGTGATATTATCAAATTTATACTTACTTTTCAAATACTCGCACCATTTCATTTTCATCAAATGTCTTCTTGAAATTAATTATGTATTTCATTCCCTGATTTAGTAAGTAATTTTCAAATTCTTTTAATTCCATTCTGCAATTTGAAGAAAGAAGAGAAAATACGTTATTTGATTGCTCTATCTCAATTAAAAATGTTTAACAGTATAAACTGACAATGTTTACTCACTCTTTCGGAATTGTGGCGTTATTGAAACTTTCTTTTGGAAATATATTAAACCCAGCAGCTCGAACATCATCTAAACTTACAAACAATTGCCTCTTTTCAGATTGTAAAACTTCAACAGGCCTTCCGTGCATATCAACATACTGGCCAGCATAAACAAAATCCTCATCCATGTCGCAGTTGGTCGAATTATTATCAGTATCTCTATTCGAGCTAAAGGAATTATTTAGATCAAATCTACAACAAAGTATTGATGTATTTAATATAATAGTAGGCAACATTTAAGATGCAACAATATTAAATTAACAGGGTGATTAAAAGTTGCCGGGCAGAACTTCCCCTGTTCAAAAAAACGATAGTATAACAAAATTAATTAAAAAAACCAACACATTGTCATTTTTCATTTTACCAACTATTGTTGTTGAGAAGAAAAACTGAGAAAAGAATAACGCTTTGTATATTTTTGACGCGGTATTGGTACTAATTCCTTTGTCTTTGTATGTTAGTGATCGAAAGTGTTTTGTTCTTTTTATCGTTTCTGTTCTGATGTTTCGTGTGTGTTTAGTGAATTTGAGTTTGTGGTCGATTGTTAGTCCAAAGTACCTTACGTCGTTTTTCGGTTGTGTCGTTTGGCCGTCTGCCATTATTGTAGGGGAGTCAGCGTTGAGTCTGTGGTTCGTGAGCAGAAGTTGGTTTTTTGTCGCGTTTGGCGTTAGTCTACATTTATAAAACCATGTCATTGTGTTGTTTGCCAGTGTTTGGAGTCTTTCAGTCGCTTTTTCAGTAGTTTTGTCGTGTACAATAAGTGCCGTGTCGTCAGCGTATTGTAATATGTATGCCGTTCTGTC